ATTCTATGTGTTCAGGTGAGTGAGATACACGCATGAAAAAGCAGAAAAACGCGTTTTTATCTTGACTAGCATGACTAAAACGCGATTTTCATGTCAAAGACAGATGATAAAGAAAAAGCAGACCAGTGGATCATGTAGAGCGCAAAATTCTCTACCCATCCATATCATTTACGATTTCGCTTCAGCACTTTGGCACAGATGTTTTTGGAGAATTAAGTTTTCCGTACAAATTGTAGGGAGACACCAAAATCGGTCTGGCGGATTTAGGCAGCACTTTAGCGTAAAATTGATTNTAGAGCATCAAAAACACTCCGGAAAACACACAAAAGTATTTTACTAAACGCCTATTAAGTGGTCCAAAAATGACTAAGTTTAGGTTTTCCACTCAGTTTGTAGGGAGAGATTTTGGAACTTGCTTTGCCCATAAGTCAATGAGACTGTATTTAAACTGTTTCAAACTTTCAGAACCAGAAGCAGGTAGGAAGTTGTATGAGTAGTAAAAATTTCAGCACTTAAAGTTGATGTCTTCCTAGTAAACTTCGCGTTATGCCACAAAATGTAGGGAGACTTTTTTTGTAGGGAGAGATTCGTTTCAAACTTTTTTCCTATTCAAAGCTGTGCAGAACTGAGAAAAGTAAACTTTAATGGCTTTTCGAACACGCTCTTTCTAGTAGAGCAAACAGAACTACGTAAAACAATAGCTTTGAAAGTATTTACCAATAAGCCATTTCGCAGTTGTGGTTTTTAGACTTTTTTCGAGGATCAATTGACCAAATATCTTTTGGGGAATAACAATGAAACCTCACACATCAGGTTTTTCCAGTTTGAACCTCACAAAACCTCGGAAAATCTCAAAATCAATATCTTTCGGTTTTGTGAGCTTTTTCGCACGAAAGTTTGGATCTTTTTTGAGATATTTCGCGCCTTTTATTGTTCTATTTTTTTTCCAACGGGTACACTACCTGCAGGTAATTTTTCCCGCCCAATTGCTCCTAAGCTAGTAGATAATACTGCCTAGAGGTGTCCTGCGTAAATTGTAGGTCTCTATCTTGTTTCTATTAGAAGTTATTTTGAAAATATCACGGGTCACCGTTAATTTAATACATTAGGAAATTGCACCTCTATTATCAGCCGGTAGCTCTTTGGTAGTTTGGAAATTTTTACATGGTACTCAGAAAATTAAGGGGAACAATCTGGTCGACTCAGATTTTTGATAAAGTTACTTTCATTTTTTCCCACAAATTGTACAACTAAAATACGATTCACCCATATACGTCAACAAACATTAAGATATTCAAAACTAAGTTTATTAACGTTCGATCAGCATTACTCGTCCTTCTTTGTAATATAACGAGGACGAGGAGACTGAACATGAAGGCGAAAAGGATTTATAAAAAAGCTAATAAAAGAATGTTCGTTAATAATAAAACAAATAAAACTGTTGCAACTTGCAACAGTTTTACAATCAGTTTTATCCATGATGGTTGCAACCATCATTTGGCTACTTTGTATCGTCTTGAAATTTGTCACGCAAAAGCATCGACATTGCTAGATTTCGAGATGATAGTCTGGAGCGTTGCTTACGATCGATATACGATGCATGGCTAAATGCAAATTCAGAGGGTACAGACGTAGCCGGGCTTGCCAGATATTGCCGTGCCATCGTTGAATTTCTTCAAACGATCACCATTTGTATGCCAAAATTTAATAGCGTCAGGCTGTTTAGTTCCTTCGAGGATGTCCGTAAACTCACGGCTAGCCAGCGACCTATACACTGTGAATTCGTCAGTAAGACTTGCGTTGACGATCGGTTTGGCAACTGTTGTTGATTGCCTCTTCCCAATTGTGGCTAGAAAATCTTGCAATTGGCTTTGATTAGTTTTACTGGTGAACACAGAATTGGATGTAGATAAGCAGATCGACTTATTTGTGTATTGATCAGCAACGTTATTGAGCATGGTTTTGATACTGCGTTCGATTGACGGGCGTTCCACTCGGCTCAAAGTTCGGAATCCGATTGGATCAAAATATGAGTGGACCTGAAAAATATCAATTTATTAAATGGAATATGTTTGAATCGGATCCCAGGACCAGAGCGAGTCCCGAGTATCGGACCCGAATCTTCCGAGCAAGATTCGATTTCGCTACATGCCTATATGTGAGATAGAGTAAAACCTTCTCTACAAAATGCTGAAAACCCGAGCTTTCTATTTCTTTTCGTTCTCGAGTTGCTCCAAAAACATCCATGGCAGCTCTATACAAAAATCCATAATACAAACTCCGTTTACCTAAAACCGAGTATAAATAACTGTTTATTGGTAACATTTTGAGAAGTCAAATACAGGGATTCGTAGCGCTTAGAAATCTCTCTTGAATGACGTATTACTTTATTGTTTCCCATAAACCGTTAATTTGGAAATGAAAGTGTAAGGCACCAGAGTGATATTAATTCGTATTCATTAACATTGATTAATTATAAATTATTGTCTTAAACAAACTGTTTTATTTTTAAAACATTTTACATTAGACCATAATAACAGTCCATTGGCTATCAAGCAATGCATGAATGACTTTTTTACGATTATTTTTGACTGAGCGACAAGTTCTTTAAAATGAAGACTAAGACTTTAGATTTTTTTAAAATTTAAACTTAATTAATTAATAACTCTGTGAATCATCAATTTATTAAACGAACTTAAAAATATATGTAATCAGGTGCCCTCTTTAAACTGATATAGTTTGAGGACACATATTAAACATACATAGTAAAATCAGTTAGTAGAGCAAACATTTCCAATTAAAATGAGACATTTCTTATGTTTGAGCGATGCTATTTTTATTCAAAATTATACAATCTGTATCGCCTGAATCGAAGAAAAATCTTTTCAGTACGAAAGCCTACTTTTTGACTTTTATTTTGAAGATAACTTAGGAAAAACTCAACATTTCGAGCTCAAATCTTTAGTGTCAACCTTATAGAGTAAGACACCCATACTCTGAAAATTTTCTCAAGATTGGATGTTCTGGGACAAAAATAAATCTCTGACAGAACGGACCTTTAAAAATTTCTATACTCTATTATATAACTCTCTGAGTTTTCCCGTTGACAACTCTTGTTGTTACCATATTCGGACTAGGACGTGCGTCACCCTCTCCTCCTTTTAGTATTTACCATAAGTTACTTATTTCTTTACCGAGGCTAAATGTAGGTTGTTTGAAGTATCTCAAAGATCGGTCGTTAAAGTCAAGTTTTCATGATGGTTTTCGTAATAATTCGACAACTCGGTTATTTTGGGTCTTTTGAGTGGCAAAAAAATTCATTATTTCAGTTTTAAAACTTGAAGTAATCTTTCATATTTATAAATATTTATTTATAGACAAACATGCACTTTCTCGATTCTCTTATTGATCTTCTCAAAAATCTAGGTCCATAACCGATCGCTCCTTCGTATAAAATGTAATTTTAAATCTAGTCTCAAACTAAGGAATATTTTCTCTAGAATTCTATCTGAAAGCATTTCAAAAATTTCCTTTGTACTATTATTACACATTTGTATATATGTCTTGAATTAACAGAAACTTTGACTATCAGACAGCAATCTATGGAAGGAAGGCGCTTAGCAGAAGATTAAACAGATTGGTATCCGCCAGCCGATGGAGATGCTTTTCCCTTCACTTTTGACAGTGTCCATGACGATCCTTCTTTAACTAGGATTGGTAGCTGTTGCCAAAAGGGTAAATGTGGTACGGCTTGAATTCCATGTACGCCCTGAATAAAACGTCTAAATACAACACCACCCACGCAATAAACGAAAAGAAGTACTATCAATAAAATAATAAAAATCGAGCCCCCTGAAAGTCCCCCACCACCTGGGCAAGCTTGTGCAGCTCGAATTTCAATATTAAATGTACATGGTGGCAATTCGGCTATTTTCATCGTTGTTGGATTTTTTATCGTTTTATCGCATATGAATTTTGCTATCATCGTTCGATTTATCATATTGCATATGTCACCATTGGTGCTCTTCATTATGACACCCGTTCCAGGACTAATCTCACTTAATTGTATGTTTGTCCGTTTCACACCATCTTTGTACAACAAAACAGATTCAAATTTAGGCTGAACGCCACCCCCACCAGTACGCACTTGACAAGCCATTGCTCCTGCCGGACTTGTATTAAGACAAGAAGAAGCTGGTACTTGACCACAAGCAGTAAAAGAGTACTTGAACGCGTTTTCTTCTCCGGTTATTATTACATTAGACTACTTCCAAATATCGCCTAATAACTGCATCTACTTTTATACACTCCTTCTCCCTGAATAGTCAAGCGTACAATCCCACACTCTTCGAATAACTACGTAATCAACTTTTCGTAAGAGACAGATGTTTTTACATGAAAAAAAGTTGTTTATATATCTGTTTGTGGTTATTGTCATATCTTATCTTCTTAATCACGGAAATTACATTACGAAAAAACTCGAAGGATCTCGAAAATCGAAAAATCCTTCGAGTTTCAAAAGCTTTACATTTTCGTCTTATTTGTCGATAAGGACTTCTCAAACTATTTTTCTCTCATTCGGCATCGAAAACTGAATAGAAAAATCGTATTTGATCGATTTCGTAGTGATCAGGATCAAAAACTGAGTCGACTATTGTATATTTCAAAAATTTTTCGTGATTTTCATTTTTTGATGAAAATCACGATAATTTTTCAACGTGACAATTCAACAAACACTAAAGTACAAACGCTAAAGTAGTAGGATAGGATAAAAATACACATTAGTCGACTCACGAGGGAAGGACACCAACTGTCGAACAGAAACAAAGTATAGAAATTAAAAAACAAGTGTTCATTCTCAGTGGTAACAAAATAAAAGACAAAGTACAAACGGTTAGCGACAACCAAGGAGCCAAGGGGGTAAAAGCACCACTTCACCACTTCATTTCACTTCACTTCACTGCTGAAACGACGCCCCTGATGGGGGAGGGAAGCAAGGGAGGGAAAGTACCATTTCACCACTTCCGCTTAACTTGAAGTGATTTTTTATTGTTTCGACCGTTTCAGCAGCGTTTTACCTAGATGAAGTGAAGTGAAATGAAGTGGTGAAGTGGTGCTTTTACCCCCTTGCAAGGAGCCCACAACATTATCAACAATGAAAAACTATCGAATTTCGTGTCGAATCTGAATCGATCAATGGTACCTAAGCAATATCGCGAAAAAGTCTTGTTCAAGTAATCATTCGCCGACCTCATTTCACAGTGCAATTAACTATCATATTTGATCGTCTCCTTTCTACTACTCCCAGCCAATATGTAATACATGAACTTCACCTTTTTCAGGTCGTTCAAATTGTATTTTCGGGAACCAAATTTTCGTATACAAGACTTCATATCTTCATTTCTCACATACGACGTCAACAAAAGGAATAATATTATACGCATATTTAACGAGCGGAAAAATGAATCAAATGACGTAACCTAAACCTTTAATGCGTTTTAAAAATGAGAGACGAGAAGAGATAGCGATGTTATTATTATTATTACCTGGACAGCACAAAGAATTCTGAATAAAAAGAACAGGAAAAATTCTTCACTTTTTCTCATAGTTATAAAAACGGACTCGGTAAGATAACGTCGCCACGAGACTTGCTTTGTCCAAACACTTACAAATCCTGCACGTTTCTACCCTGACAAAAGCGGCCACATATCTGACTCAAGACTGTCAGTAATCTTATGCTAAGCCAGAACTATAGAACTATTTATTTTTTAAATATGAATCATTCCTTTATCTATGATTCATTTACATTTATCCATTATACTTGCTGCAACTAGTACTGAAGCGGGGTTAGCGGGTTTGTTCTGTTGCAGCTAGCTATGTTCGCTAAGCTTTACTCTTTTAGCTAGATCCCGTCAATGCAGAAGCGGACTCTTCTTCAGCAAGAGCAGCTAGCTTACTTCTTATGAAATTTCATAATTCTTCGTAATTTGATAAGAAGAAAAATAGAATTATGTAAGTAATTGCGAAATTTCATTTGAAAGAAGTATACAAAAAGCAGAGTTTTTGCAGTTATATTGGTTGCTACTTTACCTCAATTTGAATATTCGATGAACAAGACTTATTTCAAGTGTAAACTTGGAGTCGAAACTCGGGGCAAAACAGCTCCGAATCGTTTACGACGTGTTGATATATTTGTGATGTTTTATTGTCGAGAATTACTAGAAAAGTCAAATACTATGTTTGTTGATGTTGGCTTTGGATCAAAAAATACAACAACAATAGAGAGTATACACAGATTTAGAAGAATTAACGAAACTCTACAAGTTTTAGGTGTTGAAATCGATTCAAAAAGAGTTCGTGATGCTCAAAAAGATGATAATGATTTAACCCATTTTCGCCATGGTGGATTTAACCTACCAATACAAAATAATGAAACTGTTTATCTAATTCGAGCATTCAATGTTCTACGTCAATATGAAACTGAAGACGAATGTGCAAATTATTGTAAAATAATGGGAAATTATCTTGAACAAAATGGTATACTTATAGAAGGAACATCCGATCAATTTGGACGATACTGGGTGGCTAATATAATACGAAAAATTAATCAGAATGAAATAAGACTTGAAGCAGTGGTTTTTAGCACAAATTTTAAGCAAGGATTCGATATTGTGGAATTTCAGAAAGTATTACCAAAAAATTTTATTCACCGTATGACAAATACAAATGAAATGATATTTCGATTTTTCAATGATTGGAAATTTGCCCATGAAATTACTGCAAAGCCAATGAAAATAATGCTCTCTCCAAAACAACAGTTCATCATGACGGCGAGACAATTAGCAGAAAAATATAACTATAAAATTGATACAAGAAAAAAAATTCTTAAATCCGGTTTTCTCATTTGGAAACTCAACTGACTACAGCATCTGTTTTCTACTTCAAATAACCTATAACCAAAAAGTCTTTAATAAAATGGCGTATTCAATAAACTTGAACTACTAGGGTGGAACTACGCAGATTAAGGAGTGCTTTCCTCCCGTAAATTACCGTTACCGCTCATGGAAATAGAATTTCGATAAAAATAATTTTACCGACGCTTCCGTAACAACTTCAGATTTTTACCGCGGTAAATTCAAGCCGGTAAAAAATCTCAAAATTTTACCGCAGTAAGCTTCGGTAAAAAAATCTTTTACCGTTACCGCTCATCCATAATAACAACTATTATTTGCACAATACACTGATAATTTTTATATAGCAGAGGCATCACTCAAGTAATTATAAATTTATTTTATATTGGCTGCCGTTGCCATACACCATAATTATATAAATAAAACGATCGAGAAGAAAAACATTATTCCTTCTTTTAAAAGGTTTTACCAGTTATGAATCAACAATAACTTCCCTTTCGTTAAACAGCAAGGCAGCACTATTAGAGCTGCGATAAATAGCGATTTTCTTTTCTTTTCTTTTTTCTTTTCTATTTTCTTTTCTTATTCACGTTATATATTGTGTGTGCTCACGTTGCAATGTATGGTACACATATATAACATACATTAAGACTGTTGTCTGCGTAGATTGTTGTCACGTTTCTTTCTTTTCCTTAGTGTGTACGAACGTTATAGGCTTCATGCAGATAAGACGTATATGCTGACCTTTTCTTTTACATCACGTTTGTTCACACACAATATATAACGTGAATAAGAAAAGAAAATAGAAAAGAAAAAAGAAAAGAAAAGAAAATCGCTATTTGTCGCAGCTCTATTAGCTCATTAACACACAACAGCAACAATTCCATTGATAACAACCAGAAAAAACATACATCAGACCTTGTGCGTTGAGCATTTATATTTATTTAAAGTTTTTTTCTGATGTTTTGAACGTGTACAGTTTATCAGATGGTCTTTTAAACAACGAAGTTTCGAATACGGAAGCTTGAATATGTATTTTGTTTATATTCTTTACAATCACAAAATTACTACGTGTTAGCGTCTATTGCAGTGGCTATTTGAGAGTCTAGTGTTTGAAAATGTTCTCCTTTAAGAATAACTTTATAAATTGTTCTCATTCGAAAGTGCAGCAGCTGGATATATACTCCTTTGCGATAGATTATAACATATTGTTCTCCTCCAAGAATGCACAGTTTCAAATTGTTCTCAACCAAGATGGCGTCGATAGACAGCCTTGTTTGCGCCCAAGTAAATATCTCCTATGGGAAAAATCTAGATACATTTCGTCTGTAATCGGGCGATACACGACTAGTTGCCATCTAGATCACTGGTTGGAAAAGGGACTTTTAACTAGCTGCGTCTGTAGGTGCATCTAGTAATAGTTAAATCGATCGATTATCGGGCGATAAATCGATAGTTGCAACTAGAAAAAATCTGGTAATCGCCCAGTTACTAGATTTCCACTGTCGTTACACAGTAGTTGCAATCGAGTAAAAATCTAGTAATCTAGATGAATCGGGCGATACTAGATTTCTTTTTTGACACTTGGGTGGACAAGCCGAATTACATACATCTACCATGAACTTTCACATGAAATGATAATTATTCAAGGACTTATTTCTATACTAGACATAATTATTATAGAAGATTTCGAGACATCTGTCATTTTAGAACAGAGATTTGACTATTTATGATACTTTACTTTAAGAGTCTCGTAATAGAGCAGATAATTCAAGGCAATCATAGGATGTAAATCCATCGATGTTTCATCCATTTTTAGTACGTTCTGCTGACTTTTTATGAATACGAGTATCCACGTCGACTCTCGCGCCCTAGTCGCGGCGCGTACGCGATGTCGCGCAAGTTATCGCTATGAACTCCCGTTGTCGCGGCGCGATCGCTATTGAGTCCCGAAGTCGCGGCGGGATCCTGAAAAATTCTGGTTATTTTAATTTTTTTTTTCTGGTTATTAAATTGGGTTATTTTGTCTGAATCTTTCAGATAACTAATCTTTAGTGCTCGTACTATCCTCCTCCCTAGTGGAACTTCTTGTACCCAAGATCTTGGGTTAAGAAATGTCACAAGATCTTGGAAAAAACACCAAGAAGTCAAGATCTTGGATTCTTGAATTTTTCACTCAAGATCTTGGGTTAAGAAATTT